AGTTTGTTTGTTTGAATGAGTAAAGAGAAGCACATCGACACAATAAGGGTCACGTAGTGCTGAGAGAAAATCAAGATTGCAACAGATAGCAACAAAAGAGGGGGGGGGCTGTTCAAGCAGTTAGAAGACGAACTGGATGGGCAATAAACGCCATTCAATACGTTCATTAATTTATTCACTCCGCCCGAATTCTTTTCCCCTGGTCGGACATCAAATCCATTCCGGCTCTCTTCCACCAACACTGCTTTCGACAATCACAGGACGGCCCGAAGTGCGCCATGAAACGGCACCACGTTTTATGGCTGCTCCTTGTGCTTCATAAAACGCAGCCCTGCACACGCAATCAACAAGACAGAAACTGCAGAGGGAAGCAGCTGTGTTGTTTGGGGTCGGGTAAAGAGATGCACTTTTGATAGAGCAACGGTCATTTGGTAGAAGGAGAAAGGGAGGACGGGCAGGCAGGAACAACAGAGAGTGAAATAGAAGAAAAAGGGCATCTAACCACTGGAAGGACACAAGGGTATACCAGGTGCAATGAGCGAAAACGGCATCGGTTTAGCAACCCATCCAACATTATTTCAGAGGCCAGACCTCCGAGTTTATAGTTCATCTCTGGGAAGACTGAGCCAAATAGAGCCTATCCTAAGAACTCAACGTTTGGACCTAGCTGTGGCTCGAGCCCCCCGAACCCGCAGTCTCGCGATTACGGGTCCGGTAACCCAAACACTAGACTACCAACGCCACAAAATGAGCGATAAGCAGTAAAATTAGAAAGGACCGTAATTTTAAGTAGGTTGTGTCTATGCATCGACAGCCTCCCAATTTGTGCAATATCTGAAGGACGTTAGCACTGGTTCGTATGGATGCAACTGATCGATCAAATTCCTCAATTAAACGAGCAGAACCCTTGCTTAAGTAAATCAACGAAAATGCCATCATCAAACAGACATCTTGTAAAAGGTAGACTTCTTCGACTCTGTCTGTAAACGTCATTAATTATTTTAGCACGATTCGACTGCCCAGAGACATACGTGTCCGTTTCTTTTGGTGCGTTTGTATTTGTGAGAGGAGAGAGAAACACATCGACACATCAACGGTCATTTAGTGCGCGCGGGGGGGGTATAATAAACACAATGTCGGTGTGCCAACGACACGGAGGATTCAATAGTCATTACATTAGAGCTGTGTTATGCTCGGCTATGCTGCGGATTATCCTGGTTCGAATGCCAAACGGAACGTTCTTCAACATGGGTCGAAATTAGGGCGTTCTCAAGGCTTTCCGCAATCAACATCAGCATTTTCCACTGGCTTAGCCATAGCCAAAACAATTGGGGTCTGACAGACCCCAAACGTGCTCTATTTTTAGGTCATATGGTTAGGGACAGGGTTAGAGTCAAGGTTTCCGAGCGAGTCGTCAACGTGTTTAAATACAATTCAGTATCTCAGTTTTAAGGCTCACAAATTTTGGAGTCAGCTCCAGTAGTATCTGATGCCAGGTATCAATCCTAGTAGTACATGTATCTATTTTTGTTGGCTCGACCATCGCAAAGATTAACGGACTAAGATCAAAACGCTTGTTCCTCCGTGGTCGAGCCGGTCTGGCACTTTGAGCTGTGTGTACTGCTTTTCCTTTCACCAAGTGAAAGTCAGCAAGGGCACTTCATTAAAGCCGTTGGTATCATGCCTGACTATGCTGCGGATTATCCTGGTTCGAATACCAAACGGGGCGGTCTTCATCATGCTTCGTTTAGGGAATTCTCAAGCCTGTCCGCCTGTACCTCGCTTGATCCTATCACGGGTGAACAACGTTGGATGGCCTGCCTTTAAAATAACCTCGTAATGATAATGCTATTACAAACACATAATATATTATAATTATATTGGACGCGTTAAGACCATAGCCTCTCACTTTTTCCTAAGGCCACTTTTAATGAGTAGGCCTACATAATGAATGTCAGCCAATCCCTCGGGGCACAAATGAACAGCTCTCGACTAATCTGTTTAAATTACTTCTTGTCATCCTTTTTTTATACTCAGATCCCACTTTTGCGACCTTTATGAGGCTAAAATTGGTGAACTTCCCACCTGTATGAGCATGTATTTCCAAGCACAGTACAAGCCTAAAATAACATGTCATAACCATGGTTACCCCCCACCACCCATCAAAATTAGCAACTCGCCCACACTGACCAGGCTGGCAAGATCATACAGCCTTAGATCATACAGACAGCGGAGATTCGAAAAGAAAAATGCTTCCTTAATTCTGTTTCATAAAGGCGCAAAGGCCCGTACCGTCTGACTTTTCGACCGACCCGATTAAGCAGAATCGATGAGAAAAACGCGATGAGCGCATACCACACATACATACCGGTGTGTGAATGCAATTTTGTAGACAGAGCGATGACATGGGAAAGTCATCAGAGGTAGCATAAAGTGTCGGTGCCACAGCGGTGCAAATATGGATATCAGGTAAGAGAGAGAGAGAGAGAGAGAGAGAGAGAGAGAGAGAGAGAGTGTGTGTGTGTGTGTGTGTGTTGGTAAGAGTTTTACGGCGCTTGCAACTTCATAAGGTCATAATAATATGCGCGCGCGACGAATCGCCTTGTCTTGGCAGATAAGACAAGATAAGATAAGATAATATCATAGATAATATCATATAAGATAGAAACAATAGGTACGGTGTACTGTGTAGATCCACGAGGGAAATTTTGGGTGGATTTACCAAAACATCAACATGCGAAGATTCAGTAAGTACACAAAAATACAGTCATTACATTCCTGAACAATGCTACACATACAAAGATGCAAAACTCACCCATGCAAGTATAGACAACCTATGTTTCCGTAGGCATGAAGAGAGCTCTCTCTCTCTCTCTCTCTGTAATAGCTAAGTTTA